ATAATACGCTATTAATTAGAAATTCACTGTAGATTTTAGTTTCATTAATTTAATACCAACACGTGGTAGATTATGTGTTAGGTTGAATGTTGCAGATTACATTGTCGATCAAGTTGTACACCGGAAAACCCCACACGTGAAATTATATTTTATTCTCGCTCTGCACGACCAATGAGAACGACCAAAATTTGAGTTCAGTTTACTCATAATCCCCAAAAATACAGGAACTCGATGAGCGATAAGTAAATTCGCCTCATTTTTTTTTGTGGAAAATCTCAAAAATGTGGTGAATTGACGAAATTTTTCTCAGTCTAGGAGCAGTACCAATAGACTGAGTGAAGCAAATTTTTACTTTTTTTTCCATGATTTGTTTTTCGTCGATCTTGTTTTCCATACTGAGTTTTAATGCTACCAACGCCAGGGAACCGGGGACCGGCGACCGAAGGAAGGCGTGATCAGAGATTTTATGCCTCAGAAAATCCAAGCGGTGCCGATTTGGACTGAACCTAGGCCTTTTGGGGTGAGAGGCAATCACGCTTTCCACTACACAACCGGCGCCACATATATCATATTCCTGATTATTTTGCTGGACAAACCTGGAAGAACATGAGGCAAATATACTCACCGCTGAGTTCCTGCAGTTTATGTGATTTATGGGTAATCTAATATCAAATTAGGGTCGTTCTCATTGGCCGTGCGTACGTTAAACCAAACACAGTCAAGATTCTTATAGTACGGATTCGTTATTGCTGGAATCCTATAGTACGGTCACTGAGTTGGTCGTTTTTTCTAGGAAGCATAGCCCAGCACAACCGAAGCTTCAACTTTTGGGTAAACCGATACCTCATTCCATGTCTTTTAAATATCTCGGGGTCTGGTTCGATTCCAAATGCACCTGGAGATCCCACATTGAGTATCTTAGACGAAAATGCCAACTAAGGATCAATTTCCTTCGATCAATTACCGGAACGTGGTGGGGAGCCCATCCACAAGATCTTCTGACGTTGTACCGGACAACGATTTTATCGGTTTTAGAGTACGGTAGTTTTTGCTTCCAGTCGGCAGCTAAAACGCACATCATCAAGCTGGAACGGATCCAGTATCGTTGTCTTCGTATCGCGTTAGGATGCATGCACTCGACTCATACTATGAGTCTTGAAGTGCTGGCGGGCATGTTGCCACTATCCGTCCGTTTTTCAGAGTTATCTCTGAGGCTCCTCACCCGTTGCGAAGTAATGAACCCACTGGTGATCGAAAATTTTGAGAAGCTTCTGGAGCTAAATCCTCAAACATGTTTTATGACTTTGTACTACCTATATTTAACACAGGATGTCAGCCCTTCAAGAAATATTCCTAATCGTGTAGTCTTCTCCGATTTCGGCAATTCAGTGAATTTTGATTTATCTATGACGCAGGAAATCCACGGAATTCCAGAGCATCATCGTCCTATGATTGCTCCGTCATTATACGCTGCAAAGTTTGGCCATGTTGATTCTGCAAGAACGTTTTTCACAGATGGATCTCTAATAGAGGAGTCCGCTGGTTTTGGTGTATTTAATGAATTTCATACCGCCTCTCGAAAACTTGAAGCTCCTTGTTCTGTGTGTGTGGCTGAACTGGCAGCAATTCACTACACTTTGGAAACTATTGCTTCACTTCTTCCAGACCACTACTTTATTTTTACGGATACTCTCAGTTCTGTCGAGGCTATCCGTTCCATTAGGCCGGTAAGGCACTTCTCGTATTTTCTCTTGAAAATACGAGAACTGCTTAGTGCTTTATCCGTGCGCTCTTTCATCATCACCTTCGCGTGGGTCCCTTCGCATTGCTCAATTTTGGGCAATGAAAAGGCGGATTCACTTGCGAAGGTGGGCGCATTTATGATCGACAAATCGCCTATAGTGATTTTTTCTCTATTTATCGTCAGCAGTCACTCGTTAGCTGGCAACATCAATGGAGTGAAGGGAGCTTGGGACGATGGCTACATTCAATTATCCCTAAGGTGTCGAAGTTTGCATGGTTCAAAGGGTTGGACTTGAGTCGAGACTTCATACGCGTGATGTCTCGTCTCATGTCCAATCACTATTGTCTAAACGCTCACTTGTTCCGTGTGGGGTTGGGAGACAGCAATCTCTGTGAATGTGGACAAGGTTACCAGGACGCTGATCACATCCTTTGGTCTTGTGTGGAATATTGTGGAGTCAGATCGAATTTTTATGATTCCCTTCGGGCTCGAGGTAGACAACCTAATGTTCCAGTTCGGGATATTTTGGCTAGACGCGATCTGGAGTTTATGAAACTCATATATGTTTACTTTAAGGATATTAACCTTAGATTGTAAGTTTGATTAACCTTGTATTTAGTTTGTGTTTTGTACGTCTGGGGTTTTTTTTTTATTATTTGTTTTCAATATGAATAGAAATAATTTCTTGCTTTAGGATTAATCAAATAGTTGTATCGTAAACCACATTTAAAACCTCCTTCTTCCCTTTTCCCATCCAAAAAATTGTAAATCTCCACTAACCTCGAGACGACCGCGAATACTCGGTCCAGTTCCTTTGACTTTAAATATAAGACAGCAATAATGTGTAACGCAAAGGATAACTCGGCTCTGTAAAGTTTATTCGATTGAGCCTGTACAAATAAAGTAATTACAAAAAAAAACAAAATATAGTACGGTCGATCCGGCATTAACGAATACACGTACCATATGAGATAGAGCTAATTGGGACCAAATACTGATTGTACGGCAATTTGAAGAGATAACTTGCAGATATTTTGCCACCTTTTGGGAATATTTAGCTTCAGGTAGGTCAAAAGACTGGTCCTGTGGAAGATCCGAAACATTTGCAAAAGTGATCAATTCATGAAACTGATCCTAGAACTCGGCTATTTTTTCATGCATTTGGAATTGTGACGGGAACATGGACTCCGGGGCTACGGAATGGTCCACCGAAAGAACCGGAACATCCGTAAAAGTGGTCAACTAATGAAACTGATCCTAAAGCTCCGTAGTTTTTTTTTCGAAACCTCTTAAAGACGTCTTATCAGAATGAAATCAGAGTTGCAACTATAATTTTAACGCATAGGACAACAGAATGGTATTTGGAAACATCCGGAAAATCCGGAATAGTGAATCTATTCATGAGGCTGATCCTTTTTTTTTCGCAAAAGTGATCAATTCATTAAACTGATCCTATAACTCCACTTTTTTCAAAACCATTCATAGACTTCTTATCACTATCCATTCAGAGTACCCCTGAGATCACGTCCTCTGCAATTCATGAAATTGATCCTAGAACTCCGCTGTTTCTTTCGTAGCTATTTATAGAAGTCATATAAATATGAATGCGGAGTTGTGAGGCGAAAATGGACCCTAGGGTACACTGGATGGTTATCCGGATGATCTTGAACTTTAATAAAAGTGGTCAATTCATGAAACTGAACCTAAAGCTCCACTTGTTTTCAACACCATTCATAAACGTCTTATCACTATGAATTCGGAGAAGTGATCGGAAAACTTCCCTGCACTGAAAATAACTTTGTGGTGAAAATTACCATTTTAGTGGTTAATATTGACCGACCAGCGCCAACGTTTTTCAACCGAAGTGATTTCATATTCAAGCCAACGATAAGCGTGGTATTTTGTACCAATTCTTTGCTCGACTGTCGAGCTGTTCAGTCCGTATTTTCGCTCGAGCTCTCGATTCGATTTTGTTTCGTTTTGTGCTGTCGCGTTGCGCCGTGGAAGTGTTGCCACCTTCTCGCGTTCTGGCAAGTTTAATTGAACTTGCAAACACGAAACAAATGGTGCGTAAACGTGCCAATGAGCCAGCAGCGGGCCCTTCAAAGATGGTGCTAATCAAGCCCAGCGCGTCGCAGGATGACGCAGGAAAACGAGTACTGCAAGCCAACCAGTATGCAGTACTCCCGGAAGAAAATGGCGATGGTGACGCCGTTTCCAATGCAAGACGAGAGCGGATTCCCCCGCTTTTCACGCCGGTGAAGGATGTTGCCAAGCTGGGTGCTGAACTGGCAAAACACAAGCTGCTGCCTCGCTTCAAGCTTTGCAGCATCGGTACCAAAATCATGTGCTCCAACCTGGAGGAGTACAAACAAATAGGAAGTTTCCTGAAGAACAACAACGTGGACTTCTTCACACATGATCTGCCATCGAGCAAGCCACTGAAGGTGGTTTTGCGTGGATTACCGTCGTTCGAGGCGACTGCGGTGAAATCCGAGCTGGAGCGGTTCGGGCTCAAGCCTGAGGCAGTGTACCCGATGAACCGGCGTCCCAACCAAAACACCAGCTTCCGTGATCAGTTGTTCCTGGTGCATTTCACGAAGGGATCCACCAGACTTGCGGCTCTGAGATCCAATATCCGGGACTTGTTTCAGGTCATCATCAGTTGGGAGCATTACAAACCCCAACATCGTGATGTAACGCAGTGTATGAACTGCCTCTCATATGGCCATGGCACCAAAAACTGCCACATGAAGACAAACTGCGGCAAGTGTGCTGGAACTCACGCAACTGCGTCCTGTGAGCAAGTCGATGACATCGAGCCAACGTGTGTCAACTGCGGTGGAAACCACCAAGCCTCCAATCGCGGATGTCCCAAGCGAGTGGAGTTCATTAATATCCGTCGGAAGGCCACAATCAACAACCGTTCGCCTCCTGTACTCACGGAAGTCCAGTACCCAGCTCTCCAGCCCTGTCGACATGTTCCGAACCTAGCACCGCTTCCGCTCAACAACCAACAAGCCAATCCTGCGAGTATCCAAATGGTTCCCAACAGTCGGACAGTTCAGCATCGTCTCGCTGCTGCTGCGACCCAGCCAATTCCAGGTTCATCCACCGCCCCTGGTTTATCATACGCTGGTGCTGTCTCAGGTGAATCTGCCGACGATTCTCCGTTCACCTCGGAGGAACTTGTGACGCTCGTGGCCGAGGTCATCATCATCATGCGTACCTGCAACACTCGATCTGAACAGCTTCATGCTGCCTTGTCACTCGTCACCAAGTATGGACCGTGAAGCTATAAAAATTGCAAATTGGAACGCTTGCTCACTGACGAACAAGCATAGAGAGCTTCTCGATTTCCTCAACACCAAGGAGGTCGACATTGCTATTATCACCGAGACGCACTTGAAGCCCGAACTGAACGTATTCCTTCCCGACTTCCGGCTCGTTAGACTTGATCGCACCTGCTCTGGAGGTGGAGGAGTGGCCATCGCTGCAAGACGGAACATCAGTTGCCGGCTGCTACCAAACTTCCAGCTGAAAACAATTGAAGCCATCGGAGTGGAGGTGAGCACATCACTTGGCCCAATCACCATCATCGCGGCCTACTGCCCAAAGCAAACCCACATCAGGGACGGGTCGTCAGTGGCCTTCCGCAAAGACATCATCAAACTCACCCGGAGGAGCGGGAACTTTATCATCGCTGGTGATTTGAACGCAAAACATCAAGCTTGGGGCAACGGTCGGAGCTATAGAAACGGCATCATCCTCAATGAAGACCTGCAAGAGGGCCACTAAACCATCTTGGCCCCGGACTCTCCCACCCGGTTGAGTCGGTCTGGGGTCCATGCGACCATCGACATCTTCGTAAGCAACATGGGACACAACATCTCGCAACCTGTGGCATTCCAGGAGCTGAGCTGGGACCACTACCCTGTGGTGGCCGAAGTTGGATCCTCGGTTAACCGATTCGAAGCTTCCCGGCGCAACTACCATCGAGTCAACTGGGCGCAATATCAACACTGCGTCGACACAACCATCGACTACGATGTCCAACCGGGGACGTCCGAAGATGTTGACCGGTGTCTACAAACCATCGAGGAGGCGATTTCCCGGGCCAGGGAACAACACGAGCCAGTATCCAGACAGGTGAGTAACACTCTGAACCTTGACAGCCCTACCAAAGATCTCATTAGACTCCGTAATACCATTCGTAGGCAGTACCAGCGTACTGGCCAGCCTAATTTGAAGACCAATTGTAATCGATTAACAAAGATCATTCAGGCCAGGATGGTAGATCTCAGAAACATCGATTTTGCTAGTAAGATCCGCTCTCTCCCAGATTGTGCTAAGCCCTTCTGGAAACTTACAAAAATTCTTAAAAACAAACCTAGGCCCATTCCCCCACTGACCCCACTGGATCCGTCTCGGCGACCCAGTGATTCATCTGATAACTCCTGAAGAGAAGGCTGCCACGATAGGTCAACACTTCGTCGGCTCCCATAATCTCGGACAAAACATCATCAGCCCTCATGAATCTGAGGTTGCTGAAAATGCAACCAATCTTCTTCAGATTCCTAAAATTTTTCCAGAGGAATCCGAGATTACGGCTGACGAACTGTTGGCCTATATCAAATCATCTAAAAACATGAAAGCCCCAGGTTTCGACAACATCCTGAATCTGGAACTCAAACACTTGAGTACCAGATTCTACAACCATCTGGCATTGATTTTTAATCAGTGCCTCAGACTTGGCTACTTCCCCTCGTGTTGGAAGTCAGCTAAAGTCATACCCATCCGGATACCTGGGAAGGATCCGTCCTCTCCTTCAAGTCATCGACCAATCAGCCTTCTCTCAGGGTTATCAAAACTGTTTGAAAGAGCACTGTACCACCGGCTCCTAACATCTGCCGATGAAAACAACTTCTTACTCGAGGAACAGTTTGGTTTTCGGAAAGGTCGTTCGACCGTCCACCACCTGACTCGAGTAACAAACATTCTCAGACGGAACAATTCTGTTTCGAAAACATCTGCCATGGCGTTGTTGGACGTTGAAAAAGCGTTCGACAATGTCTGGCATGATTGCCTGGTGTTCAAATTGCAGCAGCACGGTCTTCCAATCTTCCTAGCGAAGATAATTAACAACTATCTATAGAACATGGCATGACATCGGATGCTTTCAACATCGGTCCTGGGGTTCCACAAGGAAGCATCCTTGGCTCCATTCTATTCAACCTGTTCACCTCCGATATGCCGGCTCTCCCTTATGGTGGATCGTTGTCACTGTTCGCAGATGACACATCCATCGTCTACAAGAGTAGGGTCATCTGAGCTCTGACTGCCAAACTTCAGAGAGGCCTGGGCGTCCTGTCTGAATATTTCAACAGCTGGAAGATCCGTATCAACGCGGAAAAGACCCAGGTCATTATCTTTCCACACTCTAAATCTCCTAGACTTGTTCCGTCGGAGAATAACAAGATCTGCCTGAACGGCACAGTGGTGGAATGGTCCAAAGAGGTCGTGTACCTCGGGCTAACACTAGACAGCAAGCTTCTTTTCAGGGAGCACGTTGACAAAACCAAAACCAAGTGCAACATCTTGATAAGATCGTTGTATCCACTTATCATCAAGAAGTCAACCCTGTCCCAAACAAATCATCCTTCCTGTAATCGAGTACGGTATGCCAATCTGGGAGAGTTGTGCAAAATGCCATCACCTTAAACTCCAAAGGATCCAGAACAAGATCCTTAGGATGGTCCTAAACAGTCCCCCGCGGACTAGAAATTCTGAGATCCACTTCCTGGCTGGAATTGAAACATTAGAAGAACGGAGAGTATTCATCCTGGAAAGGTTCAGAGACACCTGTCTGAGATCAAATCATCAGATCATACGTGATCTAGCACGTTAGGTTAAGTTATACTCGTAGTTAGGTAGGTTATCACTTTTTTTCAATTCTAATAAAACACATCCCCAAAGGGGTATTCTGTAAACTAGTTGAAAAACGCAAATATTAAATTAGAATATCAAATTAAACAAAGATGAAGAGCCAAGTAGGCTAATAAATTAAAATGATAAATCAATGTACTACCATAATCAACAGAAATAAACATAATTTTACTACTACTGGTATTTTGTACCATTTCCGTAGCTCAGAGCTTTGGTAGTAAATTTGATAAATGGGTTGTCAATTCAACTATTAATTGTCCTATTAGTCGGTAATTTTAATAAAGCACGTTGTTATTTTGAAAAGATTTATATTGTTGTTATTGACACGCTATATAATAAATTTACTATGGTACAATAGAATCTAGAGTATAGTAGTATTCTGAAAAGGACTTTTTCTTGTTTAATTCGTGGTTAAATCGAACATTGAAATTAATTTATAAAGCTTACATTTTATTTGCGACACTACTTACAAAACTAAACAACACAAAATACTTTTTTAATCCTACAAACTTAGTTTAACTTATGGTGTACTTATAAATTGGTGGTTCATTGAAATAGTTCATGCTTCTTTTGTAATAGTTACCTAATGGATTACGAACTACAAAAAGCAAACAACAGCTGCTTCTGTTTCGTGGTATAGCACACTTTCTTCCCACACTATTAGTTTTTGGCGGAGTCCATGTTTGTAGGCAGCCCATTTGGTTAGCGTAAGTACGCCGTTTAGTGCCTTTTCGTCCAGCGGCATGGTCCACAGTATATCCATGAGCTAAAATTATGGTTTTCAGAAATTGTCACTAATTTTCCGAGAAAAGATAATTCCTATAATTTATTAACCTACCGTCGGAGAGCTCTCAATCTTGTGGGTCTGCAACCATCAATTCCACATATTCACGTGAATCTTCGTTTGATTCCATTAATTATAGGTCCGATTTAATTAATTATTTATAAATTAAAAGCACATGTTCACCCGTTCGCAACGAAATCAATGATTAAATGGCGTGGCATAAAAAAACACTAGCAAAAAATAACTTCCTTGTTATAGTTGAACTGACTACAAAACCTTGTTGGTTGAATGTTGTATGTAATGTGTACTTGATAGTACTAGAAAGATGGTATAAATGAGAGTGTAATACATACAAACGATGATGTGTGCTTAACTTGACAATAGATATAGTTGTTTATTCAAGAAAATATTACCATATGGGATGGGTTTTTCAAATATAACCTGTTGTTAACTTTAACATACATAAATGAACATGAATAGTTTTACAATAACAAGATGCCAGTAAATTTAACCGATTTCATAGTATTTTTAACAACTTTTGTTAACTGAAAATTTAACTACCTAATTGTTGTGCAGCATACGATGCAATTCATTTCAGTGAGGTGAAGCGCTTACCAACATGAATCATTGCTTGAACGTCACTTACATGCGATTTAGTTCAGACCGGGTTTCACACCCCCAATCAGGACGGCTATAAAGACCAACCCCCAGCAATGCGATCCAGTTCTTGAAACTGCCGAAAACATCAGTAGCGCTGGTGATCCATAACATATTTAAGCTCCAACCATGTAACATTAAATGCGGCAAGGTGGCAACAAATGTAATGCCTTCGAAACCATTCTTACTTTCCCGCAATGGACAATTAAAAATGATTTAGTTGTTTTCGAATTGACGAGCACAATTTGCGTGAATCGTGCTTTCCTATAACGTTAATTAGAAAACTCTATCTATTTTTCGCAACGCGCCACGACATGTACCAAGCTTAATCGTAGAGGAAAAGGAAGAGCTGTCAAATTAGCACCATAGCACCAGAGAAATTTGGCTTCACTCGAGTTGTTCGCCGATGACAAGCGTTGCAGTCCAGCGATAAAGACAGAAGTAGATTCGCCGGAAGAAATTGGCAACACAGGCACAACGGACCCGAAAGAAACGAATCGAGGATTGTATTTTTTTGCATACTCGCCTTGACCCGTCAGTAACAGGAACTGTTCCGTTTTTGTAGTGCAATAGTTCAGAGAAAAAATAAAATCAATTTGCTTGTTGTGAGAAATTTTTTCGTACAGTAGTGAATAGGGTTTTTGTTCTAATTTCCGTCCTACTAAGCACAACCCACGATTTACCTCTCTTTTTTGAACGGGTTTGATAAAAAATAAAATATTTCTGTCAAAGATGACTTCTAAATTTATTCACCTTTCCATACGTACCGTTAGATTTGATAAAGAGTCACAAATTGTGGAGATATTGTCTAAAATCTAGCACTGCTTCTTGATTCTAAATTCGTTCTATGACTTTCAATTGCGTCCTAATGCATTGAAACGCCATTAGATTTTCTTCGTCCTACGGATAAACGTAGAAAAGGGCGCTTCGTTTGTTTTAAAAACAATGAGCGTAAATATTCATACAATGCGCTCTAATAGGATTTATGTTTTAGCTAATGAACTAACGCATCAGAACAAACTTATTATTGATTTATGCATGGTGAAATCATTGATATTATTGATCTTTTCTGATCGATAGAACGGAAATGGGCGATTACGACGAAGTAGCGCTCTACCCTATAGAGAAATTAAGGTGTAGTGCATGAAAGTTACCTATCTGTTTTCCTCACTAATGGGATGTTTACATCTATGTGGATTTGCTAGCGCTAGTGTACTAGCCAACTAGCACGAATTTCAGTTGCTCCTAAATTCTCAGGTTGGTGCCCTGCTTACATTATACTGGTGAGCTTTTTTACTAACAGCTGGCTCATTAGCGCTAGTGAAAAAGCATAAGTGTAATCACCCCATAAGTCTGTACCACTGGAATCTCCCGTTTCCGATGCTTGTCCGTGCGTTCGTTAATATCCGCTGCTTCTCTGGGTTTCGTCGCTGCTACAGCTGCTTTTGCTGCTACCACTCCGAGTATTCTGGTAAGCGTCTACATAAAATTGGTGCCGTGATCAGGAGCGTCGACACCTTGGGACGATCTATTAATAAAATTCCACACATTTTTATTGACGAATTTCCATGTGAAATTCCACATGATTTTCATGTGACCATACATTAACAGAATTCACCCAGAAGCACACATGAAATTTATGAGTCACATGAATAGTATGTGTGGTTACACATGGCTTTTATGTGTACACATATTAAGTATGTGTCCGACACATAGATATCATTTGTTGATCACATTGCAAAAATTCATGTGTGGGACGCATAAAAATAATCTTTGAAATTTTATCAGTGTACTAGGCGCTACTATTTTGAGCCCTCCATTCCGCTGAAGGCGAACTAAATAAATTCGCGATTCAAGATTCCACGCTGATGACAACGAGCCAAAGTGTGCCCACTTTGGTGGAAACTACCGTGCGTCCACTCGCGACTGCCCCAAGCGAGCGGAATTCATTATAATTCGCCAAAAGGTGGCAACAGGCAACCTGATCGGTTTCCACCGCAATAATGGTGCGCCCCCAAGTAAACACTGATGCTCAGTACCCTGTAATGCAGCCCCGTTGAATGGTCCCGAACTTAGCACCGCTTCCGCTCAACAATCAACGGGCCCTTAGCACCCCCGCTGGGTATTCTCCAACTGAGCAAGTGGCTGTGTCAGGTGAGTCCGTCGACAATTCCCCATTTACCTCGGAGGAACTTGTGACACTCGTGGTAGAGGTCATGATCATCCTGCACACCTGCAAGACCCGATTTGAAAAGCTTCATGCTGCCTTGTCCCTTGTTACTAAGTATGAACCGTGAAGTTATAAAGATTGAAAATTGGAACGCTTGTTCGCTGCTTGACTTCATTAATGCCAAGGAAATCGACATTGCCGTCATCACCGAAACCCATCTGAAACCGGAAGTCAACATCTACCTATCGGACTTTCGGCTCTCAAAAGCCGACAGCACCAGTGCAAGAGTAGAGGGAGTAGCCGTTGCAGTGAGGCGTAACATGTGACCGCCACCTGCTGCCGAACTTCCAACTCAAAATTATCGAAGCCATCGGGGTTGTAATCGGCACATCGCTAAGCCCCATCACCATCATTGCGGCTTACTGCCCCAGACAAGTCAACAACAGGGATGGGTCGGCAGCGGACCTTCGACGAGATATCATCAAGCTGACTAGGTGGCGGGGAAAATACATCATCGCTGGCGACCTGAATGTCAAACATCAAGCTTGGGGCAACTGTCGGCGCAATCAAAACGGCACCATCCTGAACAACGATCTGCAGGAAGCACAGTAGAACATCTTCAGTCCGGACACTCCCACCCGGTTGAGTAGCTCCGGTGCTCACGCCACCATCGATATCTACATCAGCAACATGGGCAACATCTCGCAACCTGTCGTGTATCAGGAACTCAGCTCGGACCACTATCCGGTGGTGGCTGAAGTGGATTCCTCGGTCATCAAGTTCCAAGCATTGCGACGAAACTACCATCGGGTAGATTGGCCGCAGTTCCAATACTGTGTTTATACCAATATCGACTATGACGTCCACCCGGAAACGACCGATGTCTGAACTCCATCGATGAAGCGATTTCCCGGGCCAGAGAGCAACATGTTCCAGCATCTAGACAGGTGAGTAATACTGTGAAACTTGACAGGCCCACTAAACGCCCCAAGTAACAATTTTGGTTTTATAAGGGTTCTGTAGACCATGATTAAGACTTTTAGCATGCTTTAAAACCTCCATAAAACTTGCAATGTAACTTGGGACCTCATTAGATTCCGCAACACGATTCGTAGGCAGTACCAGCGTACTGGGCTGCCTGACCCGAAGACCCCGAACCTCGAACTGCAGTATCGGAGGCAATGCCTAGAGTCGCTGTCACCCCCGTAGTTGTCCCTGACGAAAGTAGAATATCGCCTGATGAGGTGATGGCAGCGATTAAATCAACCAAGAACATGAAGGCCGCTGGTGTCGATGGAGTGGTCAACTTCGAGTTGAAAAACTTGAGTGTTGACTTCTTCGAGCCAGGGTTACTGATCTTCGCAACGAATCGTGTTTCGCCTTTTCTACTGCTCACCAACGGTAATATTCTGCTGCAGTAAAAGCTTTTCTCTTCGTGCACTAATACTCGTGAGCAACGAATGGCCCGTGCCTTTTCTGTTTTCCGCTTCTCCTACTGTTATCTGTCATTCACTGAGTTACCACCTTGCGCAATCAAGCAAGCGTCACTCACTAACTGTTCATTACTGCACAAAAATTAACCACTTCATTCGAGCAGATAAAATGACGTTTACTACCACTCGAACTTTGAAATGGAACATTATTTTGAGATTTTTTCTTCTAGAACCTCTAGAAAAGTAGCCAACATTTGTGCGTTTCATAAAAAAATAGAAATTATTTGGTCCAGTTTTGTGAAATCGCTGGTAGAAAGTCACGCCAAAACTGCTTGACAAAGTGGTCAATTGATTCGGCTAATTTGACAGCAACTTGATTCGCAGCGAATGCTTCTGAATGAAGCGTGAACATCTGGAACTGCACAAATAAAAAACAGCCAGTGGTCTGTGGCATCGTTTGACAAGTCGGTGCTTTCTTTTCGGTTCCACTGGTTGAAGTGGAAAATTCTGTCGGTTGACTCGAAATATTGGATGGCGATAAACGGTCGTGCTGGGTTCCTTACGCGGCTTCAAATGGACAAGACTTCTACGATACTCGGCTCCGTCCACGTTGACCATGTAGGATCTTTCGTTCAATCGAAACAGTTCCAGGAGTCCAAAGCTTCGAAGTCTCTGGATGGAGTTGAACGTAAACCGATGATCCAGTTTGTAGTTCAGGTAACGATCTTGATTTCTTGTCATAGTGATACTTATTTCGCTTACGATTTTCTTCGATTGCAGATGGGACATTCTCCACTACCTTTGGTTGCAAGTTTGTTGCACTTGTCGGTGGTGTTGAACGGGAAATCAAACGAGCTGCTGGACTGGATCCAATCTTGTTGGGAATATTGCGCCAATGCAACAGAGCGTACCAAAAATCTGATTCGCTTTCTTCAGCCTTTTTCATCAACCTCTTAGCTATCTTCACGGCAGCCTCCAACTTCCCATTGGCTTGTTGATGATGAGGTGCAGACGTGACGTGATCAAAACTCCATTCGCCGGCAAACTTCAAAATCTTTTGATTCACGAAGTTTGTACCATTGTCCGTCACTACTAGTTGTGGAATTCCGTGATGCGCGAAGTTTTCCTTACGTGCAGCTACCACAGATTCTGGCGTCAGATCTGTTAACAAGTTGATCTCGTAAAAATCCGAGCAATGGTCCACTGTAACTAAAAATTTCCGTTTTAGACCATGGTAATCAGCAAAAAACACATCCATCGAAACCATCTGGAAAGGGTACACTGGAATATTATGGCTTTGCATTGGTGGATTCGGTTGAGATGCAGCAAATTTAGCACAAATTGCACATTCCTTGACGACATCCTTGATCTGCGAACTCATTCCTGGTCAGAACAAATTCGCTCTTGTTAACTTCAGTGTAGACTCCACACCATTGTGACTGATATGACAGCAATCCACAAGCTTTCTCCGGAGAACAGGCGGTCGTTCCTAAATATCAAACCATCCTGGGTAGACAGTTCGTTGCGGCAATTGTAGTAAATCTTGGTGAATGTACCTGACGATGATCTGCATTGAATGATCCTTTCCAGTTTCTTAAATTATCTCAGTGAGCCTTGTGTCCGAAATGCTGAGAAAGTTACTAAGTTTCACCTTTGATATTTCATCAAACACGCTGAATATATCCGGAGAACTTTGAGATTTGGGCGTAATTGCTTTCGTAAACAAACACGTCAATCACCGATCGCTCACGAATAAAAGCTAAATCTCGCAAACAAACTACACCAAATGATAGAAGATTCATTCTTCTACCTGTTAGTGTTGTTAGTTTGTGAAAATGTGCTTTGGTTCCAAGAAATCGGTGATTGACGTATTTGTTTACAAAAACAATTACGCCCTAATCTCAAAGTTCTCCGGATATTAAGTTTTTTAAACTTTTCCACAGCATTTTCGTTCACCAATGGAGATCGAGACAAAGCATCTGCCACAACGTTTTCCTTACCCGTAACAAACTCGATGGTCAAGTTGTAACGTTGATGATTCAGTAACATATGTTGAAGACGGCGTGGCGCTGATAAGAGTGATTTTTTGAATATAGTGATTAACGGGTTGTGGTAGTTGACTATCTCAACAAAACGATGGACCTCTTTTCTGTTGCATGGCGTCGCAAAGTTCCTTATAGACGATATCTTCGCATCATCGGGTCGCAAACCGTGATCTGTCAGTATATGACCCAAACATTTTACGGAAGTTTGACAGAGATTCATCTTTGATCGATTCAACTTTACGTTGTTTTCTTGTAGACGAATCGAGCTGTTACAAGCATTTGTTGTGATTGATTAGCGCTTCTTCCATTGTATCACCTACACCGTAGATGAGCAAATCGTCAGCTAAGCATTCTACACCTTTTAGTCCCTGAATGACTTCCTGCAGCTTGAGTTGAAAAATCTCTGGAGCTGGAGAAATTCCAAACGGCAGACGAGTCCATCGGTACCTACCGAATAGTGTCCAGAAAGTAGTCATCTTGCTACTCGGTTTGTCCAGAACGACGTCCATGCATATCGTGTACGGGTGGAATAATCACATTTTATGTAAATCGGGATTATCATCATCTAGAGTTACATTGATTTAAAAATATTCTAACGGGAAAATTTTGATTATTAAAATTTATCAACAGCCTAAATGTCTCCATATAAAAATAAATTACACATTAAACGTGTGGGTTCTATGATCCTGTTTGGATAAGTCTTGTTGCTTTTGACATAGTACCAATTGATCTGAACTCCAACACAATTTGGAGAGCCTGCTAGAGCTCCCGATTTATTTTTTTACTATAGTCACTTTAAAGTTCTTGGGTCATTCGTGACATGTCCGGGGTGAGATTTGAACTCGTGACTTTGGCGTGCTAACCACTACGCCGGGGTCGCCCCCAGCTTCCGATTGCCATGTAAATGGATTGCACACTATTTCAAAACTACCCATATTTGGGTAGAATCTACCCAGATTGGTCAAAACTGAACCTACCCAAAAATGGCTAAACAATGTTAGGGGTGACAAGTTTACAAATGAACAAAGTCAATCGGATTCATGACGATGTTGTTCATTTGTCACTATGGTAGTTTTGAAATAGCGTGTGTATATTATAAACATGGAATTAGATGAAAAAATTTGGAATGGGTAATCTGTCTTCAAAGAAAATTATTTGGATAAAGATATCTTTACCAACTATTGTAAAGGGCCTGTTAGTTTGTGTAAACATAGCTTTGTTAACCTTTTCCTCAAAAAGCGTGGATCTAATATGCAAATCAATCAATAAGTTTGCGTTGTTTACAAATACTGATCGGTCCTTTTCAATTGTTGGTCGAGAAATTGACTTGAAATTTGACCTTGAGGTCTAGTCCCGGTACGTTATCTATCGCGTTGTAAATTTTCTCGACTTCTCTAGGCATAGAATATCATTGCGTTTACCACACAATATACAAATTCATCCATTGAAGATGGCTTCGAAAACTCTCAATCAATAACTGTGGAAGTGCATCTAGAACACTACGTTGAGAGTTGGTAAAACGCTCGCTACAGTAGCGTGAAAAGCCTAGAAGAAGATGAAATCATCGACAAATGATGCAAGGGATTTTTATTGAATTTTAGACACCTCCCCCCCCCCCTCCACTATTGTAAAACACTCAGATTTTACATAACCCCCTCCCCCAACTCCTCCTTAAATATTAGTAGGATATCGTGGGATATTGAATGTATGTTCTTGTTGTTGGCATAAACATGGGAGAGATTAAACTATTTTCTGCTTACTAGTACATATTTTGTTAGAAACTTTATGAAAAATGATAACCCCCTCCATCCTATTCCCTTACACAATTTTTGCATGACCCCTTTGAATTACCCGGGTTTTATAGTATTGAACAAATATGAAAACAAGTCATGCTAACCATCTAAATTGCAACAAAATATTGAAAAGTTTAGCTCAGTCTGATTAAAAGGCATGCATTAGGAAGGTTTGTTTACTCAAAATAGACTAACCAAGGTGGATTATGTGTAAAACGCCGTTGTTGTCCACAAACGACGCGTTTATTCCGAAAACCGACCGTCCGTGTCGGGTGGCCGAGTCGACTTTCAGGCATACAAGACTTTGCCTAAATTTATTGCTTATACTTTGTCGCATAATGTCTGCAGCACGGTGGATGAGTGTTGAAATGGTGTTCCG